TCGGTTTAGTACGAAACTTGGCACACACGACCGCCTAGGCACGAGATACTTGTGGGAGAAGACGGGGCTCGAATCGGGTTCCCGGTTTGGGAGTTAGTGCCGGATTTCACTTTAGGCAAATTACTTCCTTAAGAAACTTGAATTCGTGGCGTTAACGCCCCAAAATCACCAAACGGCGTCGGTTTAGGACAAAACTTGGCACACACGACCTCCTAGGCACGAGAGACTTGTGGGAGAAGACGGGGCTCGAATCGGGTTCCCGGTTTGGGAGTTAGAGCCGGATTTCGGTCCAGTCAAAATTATTTACTAAACTATCTTTCTAATTATATAGTAGTCAATTTTTTTTTATATTTTTCTATAATTAAAATATTAACACCATTATATGGTTTTTAATTATTTTTATCTTGTTTTTTTCAGATATTTCCTGAGTAGCAGTTGGCTTTTTCTGGAATGCGGGCGTATCAAGATTATGACCAATTTTTGTTTTTGTAACCCACGAACGAATGAAGACGAAAACTTTTGATTTTGATTTATGTTATTTAAATTTGTGAGCAACATTATGTATGTATTATGCGACGTTATGTAGTGGCATAATTTTTATTGTTATGAATTTTTATTTATGTATTGCTATGAATGGAACAATATTATTAATTTTCATTATTTGTCAATTTTTGTTTATGTACATATTTATATTATTCTGTAATTTTTCAATTTTTTTATACTTATTTTTTATCTAATACAGGTTATTTTAATTTTTTTAATAATTTTTCAGTAGGTTTTATTTATTTATTTTTTTTGAGACGGGAGAAGAACCCGTCGCAAAAAACAATAATAGGCTTTTGCGACGGTACCAACACAGTCGCAAAAGCTGTCCAATTGGAATGTACAAGACACCTTTAGCGACGGTAACCGTGCCGTCGCCAATACTTATAAGATGCCAGAGTTTTAACGACGGTAATGTTGCCGTCTCAAAAACTCACTTTTAGCGACGGTAATTACGTGCCGTCGCGAAAACTGATTTTTTTTCCCATTATTGGCTACAGGAAAAGTGCCGTCGCAAAAAACACACCTTACCGTCGCAGAAACTAATGGCGACGGTACTTACCGTCGCGAAAGCTCTTTTGCAACCCCCTTTGTCGCGACCCCCCCTTACCGTCGCAAAAAGCCACATTACCGTCGCAAAAAGTATTAGCGACGGCTTCCGGAGCATTTGCGACGGCCCTTTACCGTCGCAAAAAACGAATTTTTTTGTAGTGGTTAAATGTGGTGTTCATTTCTATTTCTCTCTCTCTCTCTCTCTCTCTCTCTCTCTCTCTCTCCCTCTCAATCTCTCACTACCTTTCATGTTTTTAGTACGAAGTCCAGTTCAATTTTGTTTAGATCAGAGAAAGAGAAGAAGAAGAAGAAGAAGAAGAAGAAGAAGAACTAACAAGGTAAAAGTTTGATGTCCCTTTCTTTGAATAATAGGTTGGAACTGTTTATTTGAATAGGTTTACCGTCAATAAGTTGTATTGACTGAGAGGTGACACGCGCGAGAGAGAGAGAGAGAGTTTATTTTCTTTCCTTGTATTTCACTATTTCTTTGCCATAATTAGCATATCGATATCCCTTTTGATTTTGAATTTCTTATTATTCCCGGAATTAGCACATAGATTTCTCCTAGAAAAAATTATGATTTCTGGGTTATTTTCGAACCTCCAATTCCGATATATTTGATATAATCGAGAATGTAATCATTGTTGTTGCTTCGGATTGTCCACAGGAGTTCAGATTGCGGAGAGATCGAATTGCAGTGACCTTGTTTTCATGTAAATCGATTCGGTGTCTCGGGTGTGAATGTGTGGAGTTGAAAGTTCCTGTAGAGGATGAGGACCAAGGTTTGAAAAATGGATGTGAAATTGAGACTGGTGGTGGTAAAGAGAGCAAGGTGAATAGTAGTAGAGATGATCAGTTTGAAATGAATATCAACCAAGTGAGCAATTACAGCTATGGAGAAGCTGAGGCATTGGCTGATGATATTGAAGGTAATGCAGTCATTTTGTTTTAAAAGGAAGTTTACCTTACGTTTGTATTTTTTACTTTGTTTAATTCAATTCATTTTGCTTAGTAGATTTTCCCACGGAGGAAGCTGTCCGCACTATTATTGAATTTGTGAAGGCACCTGACATGTCTCAGGTATTTCAGTCTTTAACTGAATTTTGAATATGGGTTTAGAGGAAATTGAATTCTGAATTGAATTTTGAATATGGGATCTAGAAGTGAAAATGAGGAATTAGACTAGCTTTGATTGAAGTGGGGAGTCAAGCAGCGTTGTGGTGAATCATTTGGATTTTCTTTAGATAAAAGATGTGTGATGCATGCTTTAGTCATGCTGAGTGATTGTCCATGTGCATTGTGTTTATTGTTCATTGCTTTACTATGGTTCTAGGCTTGTAGAGTGTATGCACAAGTGTTGCACATTTTTACCCTACTTTAGCCTAGATCATACTCTAGTTTTTGGTTCTCAAAGTGTAGTCTTTGTGGTGTTTCATGGCAGTGTGATTTGCTAGATATGCCTGTTGTGGCACAATTGGAGAAAGATGCTAAATATGCTTTGGTATATCAGCTTCTGAAGATCTTTCTAACACAGTCGCTGGATACATACTTAGATTTTTACGCAGCAAATTCCACTTTGCTGAAAAGCTATGGTAATTATTCATCTTGCCTCATTTAAATTTCTGGTAGGTAGCTGAGCTGAGCTGAGCTTAACATTCTGGCTTATATCTAATTGTTTCTTGAATTTGTTCCTTTGAATGGTGTAGGTCTTGTCCATGAAGACTGTTTAGTAAAGATGAGGTTGATGTCATTGGTAGATCTTGCCTCTGCTGAATCTGGTCAAATATCCTATCCACTAATCAAGGACACTCTCCAGGTAAAATTATTTCCTATCCCTGCATCTATAGGTTTGAATATTTACACTTTCGTCAATACATAGATGCAAGTTTCTTTTGCAGGTTAATGATGACGAGGTAGAAATGTGGGTAGTTAAGGCAATCACAGCAAAGTTAATTGATTATAAGATGGATCAGATGAACCAAATTGTAATTGTAAGGTGCGCTCTCTCTCTCTCTCTCTCTCTCTCTCTCGTTTGCTCACTCTCTGTGCTTCTGCATGGGAGAGTGGATCTGATTTGTGAACTTCAGCATTAACTGGTGAATATAATGCTATTTTGTGTTTAGCCGCTGCACTGAGCGCATCTTTGGGAAGCATCAATGGCAAACCCTCCGAGAAAAGCTAGCAACATGGAGGGTAATGTTGACCAAATCCTTGTTATTTATTCTGTTTTATATTTTTCTCAGTTAATCTATATGTATGTATATGTATATTACAGGTGTATATATTTTTTTTGCGGTACTATGCAGCACCTGGAACTGGGTCTTGACGGTACAAGAATGGGAATTTGGTTTGTTACGTAGTAATAGGAAAAAAAGTGTTAGTTCAGTTTATGCTTGGTTGCCCAGATTAGATGGTGGGTGTGGATAGGAACCGAACCGAACCAAGTCTCAAGTCCCATCAAATGGGGTGGCTGCATGAATCTTTTTTCTCCACTCGATTCTATTCAAGGCCATTTCGTTAGTCAAATTAAAATGATTCGTATCTCTATTGGTGGGTGTGGATAAGAAATAGAAGTAAGTCCTGTTCTTATACTTTCTCTAGCCCTGCACAGAAATATGCCAGTGATCTAGGCAAAGTGAAAGTGACAACATTATTTGAAGGTAAATTACACTGTTGGTTCATATAGTTTTAGCGAGATTTTGCTTTGATCCTCGTAGTTTTGATTTCATCAATTTAATCCCTGAATTTTCAATTGCGTTTCAATATGGTCCTTCCATTAGTTGCCATTTGCATTTTGGAGCCAAAAAGACGTGGGAACTGAAGACTAAAGTGGAATTAAAAAAAAATATACAACTAGGTACCACCATTATAATTTATTTATTTTTCTTTTTGGGCGGGTATTGCTAAAATGCTTGTGTGAGTCATACGAGGCCTTTTTCAGTCCAAAAAGCTAATGACAATTGAGGGAGGGACCACATCGAAACGTAATTGGAAATGTGAGGTTTAAATTGATGAAATTGAAATTATAGGGATTGAAGTAAAACCTCTCTCAAATTAGACGGACAAATGGTGTAATTACCCTTATTTTTAATTACATTAGAGCTTTTAATGCTAGTATCTCAAGAGTTGTATAAATGTATAGTTATTTGTACTTGTGAGAATAATTTTGTGATTGTCAGCTTGGTCTATGGAAAATTAGGAGTCAGAAATGATGAAATTATGTTATTGAAAGTACATAATTCAAAATTATTGTTAATTAATTTGGTTATGTTAGGTTTACTAGTGTTTAAATTGGGAAAACTTAGGTTGTATTGGCCTCGCTTTGATCACAGTCCAACCACTAGATTAGTCATATCTTTGAATGAATTGTGATTCTAATGGAAAAGGTTATATCTGGGTATCTGGTATTTTGTCTGTCCAGAAGGTATTGTGTTCATTTGGTCCTCATATTGGTCCTGCTAAAGGTAGTCTCCAATCTAAGATACGTCTCCAATCTAAGATACTTCTCAGGCTTCTAGTGTCACTTGTTTACTGGACCTAATGCTAACAATATAAACCTCATCTTGAGCATCTTTTAGTTAGGTTGATGAGTGAATTTTTTGATGTGCTATTGATGTCTCTGTCATTCCATTGCTATGCCAGCATTATTTTTTGTTGAATTTTTCTAGGGATTCAAGTTTTGATGCCACTTTTTAAAACCCCTTCTGTTTCTTTACTTCTACATAGCATCAACATGGGTCAAAAAATTGGTAGCCATACCCATAGGTGAGACCAATGAATCTTGGTTGTGCTGTAGTGTTCTTTTTCTTTTTCTTTTGATAGACTGTTTTAAGTAATGTTTGCATGTGCTGTGAATTGTATTCTTAGATTGTTTGGCAGAATCAAGTGTTACCAAATATGGGGTTCAAAATCCTTCTCAAGGTCTCTGGGACTAATTTCATTTGAATTACTTTGGCTATTGAGTCAGAGAATAATAGGGAGGAAAAATCTGTGACATAAAATAAAAAACAAAACAATACAAAAAAAACTTACAACCAAATAAAAGTTCTTGTTGTGGCCCAATCCATTCGATTAGAAAAAATTAAAGCATATGAGTAGTGAGTCATATCTGCACCGAGATACTTTCTTTTTGCTAGATTGCTGTAATTAGTTAATGCTCCATGTACTGAATTGTAATTCTTAGATAAGCAAACTATAAAGATTGTCAATCCATCTGGCTGTAAAGATCTAAAATAAGATTTGTGATGAATTATACACACACACAAAAAAAAAAAGAAAAAAAAGTGATGGCCACGTACCGATTTCCTTTAAATGGACCCACGGAAAATGAAATATTGCATTGTTGATGTGGTGTCTGAAAAAACAAAAATTCAGTCAAATATGGTTTGGGTGAGGAGAGGGAAAGAACTCTGGCATAGAATAATGTAACGAAGTCCTGTCATAGTTTACTTTCACTAATGTTAACAAAAGATCGTTTATGTATTGGATTGACAGACCAAAGTGTCTAGCTCCATGTCTTGACGGAAACAATAATCTATCTATGAAGCTTGGCTCCTGTTCATAAAAAAAAAAAAAAAAAAAAAGAGAGAGAGAAAAACTTGGCTCATTAATTGTTATTATTGCCGACTGCGACTCCTAGAACTTAGACGTACCGCTCACCGCAAAGAAGAGTTTCTTTACTACCTATTTCTCCATAAAGGCTTTAGCGCATCACTTTCTAACTATGCCTACTTATTGCTTGAAAGCCATCCTTGACGTCCAGCTGCTCTGCTAGCCGAAACTGACTTTGGATCTGAAGCTGAAGGGTCAACTAGATATTTTGTAGTAATCATTTCCTACTGGAACATGTGTTTTCTGTAGGTTTCAATGCTGTTTTCAGAATGGTATAGGATATGTGAACTCTCCAGTGCAAATGTTGCAGCTTGTGCCCCTTATGTCTTACAATTGCAGCAAAGTGGATTGCTGAAAGGGGATGATTTGTCAGATCGGTTTTTCCGCTGTCTCACTGTAAATTTTCTTCTCTGAAATTATGTCCACAGTATTATAGTCTGAGTTTTGAATTCCTCTTCCCTCCCTATTCTCTCTTATTTTTTTAACTCAGGAACTTTCTGTGTCACATTGCCTATCTTCTGAGGTGATTAGTTCTAGCCCTCTGCAATCACTTCAACAAGTCCAGTCCCTCTCCTTCCTTGCTATTGATATATATTCAAAACTTGTCTTGTTGATCATAAAGGTAGATATCTATTTCCTTCTGGATATATAATATGGTTTTCTTTTTCACATTTATTATTCATGGCTTGACTTTTAATGTTGTAAATTGCTAGTTTTTCCCTGTAAATTGCTAGTTTAGATGAATTTAAATTTCTTTTTTTCTTGGAATAACAGCCATCAAGCTGAGGTATTTGATTCAAAAGCAAGGGCAGAACTTCTTGACATAATTCTCAAGAAGGTATTAGCTCATATTATGTTTTAGGGCCTTGTTAATATGTGTCCTAAGTGTACATATATTTGTATGATTTTGATTGTAAAAGCATAGAATGTACAATCATCTTAACCTTCATAACATGTGCCTTTAACAAAATCATATACATATTGTAAACACCTATTGTAAAAGCATAGAATGTACAATCATCTTAACCTTCATAACATGTGCCTTTAACAAAATCATGTATTTTAAATTTTAATATACATATGCAGAACTACTTGCCTGTCTCTGTATACATTCTTGTTCATGGCCATATGTGCATGTGTGCATAAAAAGTATGTTTTTTACATGATAAAAAAGGCATGGCCGTATTAATAGGTGTTTTGAGGAAGGGATGGGGGGCTGTTTAACGGCTTAGAGGGGTGTTTGACATGTTTTATGTTCGAATATGAAGCAGAGCAGATGTGATTTCCATTTTGGACTTTCTGAATAGTTTTATGGATTACTTTTATTAGTTTTCTAGAAACCAGCCAAATGTTATTTTTATTATTAGTTTTATTGACCATTGATATGACTCCATGGATGGACCCCTTGGCCTTTAAAGATGGTCTTTTGTTCATGAGGGTAGGGGCAAAGATCTACTTGTTGAAGTTAGGAATGATGAAAATGGAATGGAAGAGCTCTGCACCCTTTCCACGTTGGGGCCAAACTCTATGATTTCTCCCATTGTGCTTTCATATTCCATGAATTTGGTACCATTGAGTCAGCCGTAAAAGTTTGGATTTCAGAGGGTTCAAGATCTTATATTTAAAAATATATATATGTTTATTTTGGTACAAATCTAACAGGTGTTTGTCATGGAAAAAAAGGTTAAACGGGACGTCTACTGTGCGTAAGTATTGGGTACAAATTCTTCAATTTATGTTTATTTTGGTAAATTCGATTACACTTTATGTTTTGATGCAGGCATGTAGACCAGTGAAGACCAACAATGAACTCTCTCATCAATTTGAATTTAACTCATCCAACTTGAAATTTATGTCATAAGTAGGAATATATTTTTGAGTTGGGGATAATTTTTTTTGTAGTAATTTGCCATCTCTTGTATAGTTGGATCCATCATTATAGCTCAACATTTCTTTCTCTGCTAGCGTCTTTGTTAAAACATGATTTTTGGATATGTTATTTTGTAATTAATGGTGATTGGATATTAAATTGAATGGGAAAGTGAATTAATGTTGCATTTTGAATGGGAGTTATTATTTCGTATTAGTGTTATTTTTCAGTTTAATTACAAGTATTTTTTGGTTCAATAACATAAAATTAGCACAATTAAAAAAAAAGGGAGGCTATCACAGCGTTTCTAAAAACGTCGCTAAATATTATACCAACAGTTGAATTTTAAAAAAAAAAGATACAATGGCGATTTAAAAACGTCGCTAAATAGTACGGTGGCGTCATATTACCGTTAGTAGAACTTTTAGCGGCATTTTTGGAAAACGCCGCCTATAGTCATATAGCGACGTTTCTAAAGCGCCATAAAGCTATAGCAACAGCCGCATCTTCGGCGTTTGGTATTAAACGTCACAGAAGGATTTGACGGCGTTTTTGAGACCTATAGCGGCGCTTTTTGAACACCGTTAAAACCCTAATTTCCAGCAGTGGCAAGACTTGGGCAGGAAGTTTTTGGCCCTGTTAGCCCACAAGTGGACTACGATATTATTTTCACATGTTGATTTGGTCCAGACCGATATAGATCCTTTGTTTGTATGAACTTTTTCAAAATTAAATTTCACAAATTCATTTTAACTAACCAACCAAAAGACCAAAAGAATAGCACTTGACCAATTAAGAGTCCCCATCATCTATGACTTTAAAATATTATGAGTTGAGAAATATATAGGCCTATGGAAGCGAAACAACAACAAAAATATGAGAGAGAGAGAGAGAGAAAGAGAGAGAGCAAAACATTAGGAGGTATGTGATTGTGAGAGAGAAATACAAGGAGATGCATTGAATGTGTTAAGATAATTGTATGGAGTGAGAAGAAAAAAGAAAATCTCTGTATATTGAATAATGTTGAATAATATTGTTGTGACCTATATATAGGACTTATATTATTGTGACCTATATATAGAATCTCTATCACAATTGATCTATAAAAATATGAAAACTTAACAAATATGAAAAATAATGTGTTGGAAAAATGGTGTTTTATAAGGCTTATTTTGGGCCGATTTTGAGCCCAAAATTGAGTTGGCCTCGAATGTCTTTTGGGGCGGGTATGAAGAAGTGAAGTGTTCCTTGCTGCATGGCAAGTTACACGGTGAAGACGGTTCATCAAAACCATTTATGAGTGAATAGGAACACGACGTTGTTTTCGGGTTCGTGGAATAGGAAATTTAAGAAAGTAAATGTGGGTTTCTTTGGAAAGGGTTGTCCCACATTGAAACTTTAAGAGAGTTTATTTGTGTATATAAGCTCTAGCCTACAACACTTGGATTGGGCCCCAATGGGCACCCCAAGTTTGTAGAAGGGAGGAGTTATGGGCAAAGTGAACCTTAGCCCAAACCACCACACAAGCGCGTCGCCGCCGTCCGGGCATGGGTTAGGTCGGTTCTGGTATTAAGTTTTTGGACAAAATTCATTTGAATTTTTTCAAAAAATATTGCGGGAATTTAATTCAAATTTGAAATTCCAATTTTTGTCCAACTTCTGTCAGAAATTCCTCAACAGATTAAAATTGTTTTTCAGTTATTTAACTTCCAGAAATTGCCCAGCAGTTGCGGGTATAACTGTCCAATAGTTAATTTGTTGAAATAGGTTGCAAATCTGTTTGAATTCAAACAGCACCTGTTCAATTCAAAAACCCATCTGTTCACTTCAAATTTTGTACTTGTTCGGGTCTATATAATCTAGACTCGTTCCATCAGGTTGGTGGGTTGAAAAAATAACATCCAAAATTCTGTCCAGAGGTTTGTTGAAATTCGGATAGATTCAAGATCTGTCCAGTTTTTATTTTGAATCTGTACAGAACAGTTTCATATCTGTACAGGC